CCCTACCATACAGACTGCAATACACACAGAGTGTTACCCCGACTACAGGTTACTAAAAGCTTTCAGGCCAACGCGCGGCCTTCAAAAAAAATTTGGCTGCCCGTTTCTTATTTTACGCGAGCAGGGGGCCGGGTCTACTACCGCCCCTCACAAGTTTTTTTTTTTTTTTTTGACCCCCATTTTTTGAGGTGCGCCGCATGCAGTGCGCGCGCGTCGTGTGGGAATCGCAGTGCGGCGCACGTGCGCGGTACAGCGCATCGCGATGCGCCGCAAGTATGGTTTCCACATTTTGCATACATGTAGTGTTTCGACTTGAACCAAGTTGAATTTGATATATCAACGGTACTGATTGGCATGGCCCCTGTCCCAGCACCACACACACAATCGAGAAATGGTCCAAATTAAGAAACAAAGGAGCAAAAAAAAAAAAAAAAAAGATAGAAAGTTGGAAACAAAGGAGCAAAAGGAAAAGGGAAAAGAAGGAAGAAATGTGACAAAAAGGGAAGATGGCAACCTACCCAGGAACCAATCATTTTAAGTGCCGCCATCCGTGGAAGAAATGTCTTCTTTTGCTCCTCACTTCCCAAGAGAGCTGTGTTCACCAAAACGAAACCCTTGATTGAGCTCTTGTTCTCCCTCCCTCCCCCCTCCCCCCCTCCCAAATCCCCTCCCTCCCTCCCTCCCGTCCTCCCTCTCCTTTCCTCTCTAAACCATGTGTATACCATCCAACCGCCTTTTCAATCCCTCACAGGAGTTCCTTGGACATGCAGCTTGATCACAGAGCAACTACCCATACCCAAGTGTTAAACATGCACTGCAAGGCTGAGTCAGGTATACTGCTGCTGACTTTCTGCGACTTTCCATGGGATAAGCAAGTCTGCAGCATGCAACATGTTTGGCAACTTCAAGCTTGGAATGACAGATTTGACATGAGTCCTTCGTTGTATAATCGTATAAAATAATAATTCTGAAGCATGCAACATGTTTGACAAGTTCGAGATTAAGAAGATATATTGGGAAGATGACTGGTTCTCTCAATTGAGGAGATGTTCTCAAGGCATGAACCAGCCTGCTCTGACACAGTATAGAAATTGCTAATCGGTCTGACTATGAAGCCGAATTGAAAATCACGGCCAGAAGACTCCATGCTACCCAACAGCCAAGATTTTGTGTAGACTCCTGTTCAGCTGATGAACACACATCTGCACAAAATCCTTGCCATCCAGTACCACAGGGTAGAAAGCGCCTTGCAAATGCTCATAGTGGGAACTGGACTGCAAACGCAAGCAAGACACAGATGGAAAGTAGTAAATTACAAAACGTGGTGCTCCACACTAGAAATATGTCAATGAGAAAAGTTGCTACGGCACCATGCAACTCCCTCTCCACACCCCCCCATGCCCGACTTCTTCCTGGTGCACACCACATCTTTCCCTCCCACCCCACCCACTCCCCTTCCCGACTTCCTCCTGCAGTGCCTCCATTCCTCCCCCTTTTTCCCTTCTTCCACAGCACCCCCTCCCCTTCCTGCCTTGCTCCTAATGCGTGGCTGTTTCCCTGACAGGAGGAGGAGGATGAGACTTGATGACAAGTGGAGCACAACGCTTCACGGCATCGGGCTCTTCAACATTAGAGTGTGGAGACCGGAGAAAGCTGAAGCAAACGATGGCATGGTACTTCGCCGTAGTCTTCTCCCCTCAAGATGCCAAAGATCCCCCTACCGTCACCATCACGTCGTATGTTTTACCTTAGCGCTTATCTGTTCTCCTCAGAGTATGCTGGATTTGGGGAGGACAGGAGAAGACGGGTGTACTGCCCACAAACAAGGGCACGCATTGTGATATTTGGGGAGGAAAGGAGGAGAGGGGTGTCCCGCACACAAACGAGGGCAGCCGTTTCACATCGCATGAGACCCACTGTCACAAGGACAGCAAGAGAGAGAGGAGAATACCACAGTCATTCAACTGCTGGTCCAGAGCACTGAACGTTAGATTTCGCTGGCCTTGGGCAGAATCTCCATCCGCTGGCTGAGGTGACGGATTGCCAATTCAAAAGGGCAGTGTGATTGTGAGTGCCCAAAAGCAAAAACGAAGATGTTGGATTACCACTGGCATTATAAACGATAAGCAATGCTAATCAGTTATCCGCATTGATTAAGATGCTTCCCGGGGGTCCAGGGAAAACGTGGCCTGTGCGGTTGTCTCACGGGACACGTGATGCCAGCACTGTCCTAGCCGTTTCATTTTCAGTCATTCATGGAGGCTTTTTCGTCTTAGTTTCGTAGGGCAGTGGTCCGAAGTTGGATGGTAGTGTTTTCTTTTTTTTTTCGAGCGGCCCACAAGGTTGTCTCACAGGACACGCAGTGCCAGCATTGTCCTAGCCCTTTCTTTTCAGTCGTTCACGGGGGCTTTTTCTTTTTAGTTTCGTAGGGCAGCGGTTCTAACTTGAACGGTCACACTGCTTTTTTATTGCTTGGCAGTTTCGAGTGTCGCGTTTTGTTCCCGGATTCGCACGTAGCAGCGAATACCAGGCTTGTTCTGATGCACATGGTAGCAATGACGTCCAGGGCTGAGTTGGCGGTTTTGTAAACAGCAGCGAATACCAGGCCCACTTGGATGCACGTGGTCGCAATGACGTCCAGGGCCGAGTTTGCTGTTCTGCCACACACACACACACACACACACACACACACACACACAGAGAGAGAGAGAGAGAGAGAGAGAGAGAGAGAGAGAGAGAGAGAGAGAGAGAGA